AGTTTAGTTCTGAGCATGTCGGGCATGCCGGCAAGCGCATTTACGATAGCGGTCGCGAGTTGGGGAAAGCTCTTTGATATCACATTATTGGGATCATTGTGCCTTGACGAGAAATGCCGCCATGCTATTGGATCAAGCCTCCGTATCGTCTCCGCCCTTTTATATCTTCGCTGGGTTTGGTTTGATTCTCCGGTAATTTTGATAGAGCAACTCCCCGCGATCCAATAAGATCTTTGTCAGTATTCTGCTTAGAGCAACCTCACTACAGTGTTAAACCATTTAAAAAACAATTCCAATTATAAAAACCGTTGAGAAAACAACTCTGTTAGCTGAAACTTTGCAATTTGTATGAACTCTTATCCCTTATCGTTCTCCACCACTTTGAGAATATATTTTAAAAAATCCGTTAAAATTAGTTAAATTGCTAGTTTTTTTTTTCGAGTCCCCCTATCGAGCCGGTGAAATTTTGAATTCACGCAACATTTTTGCACGTTAAATTGAAGCTGATTTATTAGTTTTGTTTCTAGTAATGGATGTGAAAAGTGTTATTATAACATCAAACAAGAAAGTGAAATTTCCGTTTATTTTTAATAGATTTTTAACCAGTTTGATATTACCCGAAAAAAGTGTTTGGGGTTATTTAGATCGATAAAACCAAATTCTCTATTAGGTAGCTTGCAGTTCCTAAAGGGCGCTAGCTGCAATAGTCATCAGTCATTTAAAACATCAGACATTTTTAGCGTTTTAAAATATGGCCTTTCTTATGGCCACCTCTTGTTCTCCGACAATTTTTAAATGTGTAAATAAATAAAAATGTGTACTTGTTTCAAGTCGATATCTCTCACCGTTTCGAGATATTTCACATTGAAACTTCACATAAAAAATTATTTTTTCAACTTTTGGATCTCCAAAGAAAAGAAAAATTGTGCTGAAATTTACAATAAAACAAAAATTAACAAACATTAAATGACAAAATAACAAAAACTATTGCCACTGGCCAAAAAATCGCTCTGTATAAAATCGGACAAGAATGTACCTATTGTGAACCCACATATATTTTTAATATAAAATTAGATTCAGTTGCGCCTTCCCTTGACTTTTGTCGAAGCTTACAAAACATGTGTAAACTTATCTGTGAAAGCTTTTTAGTGCTAGTTTAAAAACTGTAGTTTAAAGTCGCCTGTTTTAATGAAAGTTCCAACTGCTAACTAATCGAGCTTGATCGGGTGCTACTGGTAACTGGTGATAAAATATTTGCTACTACATCCATTTGAAAAATTATCACCTTCTCTTAATATCGGAATCATGTAAATAACATTAACATGTTTAAAGCATTAAATTAGCACTAGAAATTGGAATTTTATAATAGAACTTATTTACAGCTCGGGAACTTTATATGGTTAGCTGTTACTTGTATGTATACGTGGGAAATGTTAATAGTCGGCCATTGCAGGTCATGCTTTTAAGGAAGATTGACATTAATTCCACTAATATTTAGTAATGGTATAGGAAGATTTTGATTTAATATTATGCAATGAAYGCTCTTAATCATTCCCAGGCGTTATAGTATTTGTTTTGAGAGGGGGAGCATTAATTYCATACCTATATGAATGTGGAAAGGCGTTGAAGAGGAGGAAAACATTCCATAACTAATCAAATTTAAGCCAGCGATTTTTTATATATCCGCGAGTAGAACTTAACAGCCTACAAAAAACCTACTCGATTTTGTGCACGATTCGCCCAATGTGCTTTATTTGAAAATTTATTTAAATTACTGTAAATTGTGATGATCGCCGCTACATATCAAGTAAAAAACACTCAATGTTCAAGGCAAAATGTTATTATTCATCTGATTGTAAAAAACGGAGTTTTATTGTGGTAGTTGCAGATTGGTAATGGCTACTGCACGAAAGTAGGTCAGTATATTTCATTATTAACTGTTTATCATAAAACACGCTTAGATTTTCTAAATTTCACTTGTTATTTTAACAAACCGACAGACTGTTGCCCTATTGTTTGTTCTCTGAATTCAAAATATTAGCCATATTTTATTAGTGGTTCGTTAAGATTTTTGAGTATAAAATTCGAATGTAAAACTAAAACTAGATCGCATCAACAGGAACTTTTCAATTGCCTCAGTTTTATTGATTGGGGTAATTGATGATTTACATAAATAATCATATTCGAATAAAAATCAACAGAGTTAAGTGTAACAGAAAGCATACTACAAAATTATTTGCTCTCTGATGTAAAGCATTGATTTATTGGGGCCCCGCCCAGAAAGGCCAGAGAAAAATATTCAATTTATTGTTCCAAATAAAACTCATCGTAGATGATCAAGACGATTTCGAGTTTGTCGCTAAGAATGTTGGCATTTTTTGACAAGTTTTCTATTATTAATAGCGTTGAATGTGTAATTTGCGTCAGAAATAGAAGAACAGCGATTCTTAGTAGTTTCAGCCAAAAATGTCCCATTCTGATAAAATCATCTACTGAACACCAAAATAAAAAGTAACAAAAATAACAGCTAATTATTATAAATGTTGAATAATTATGACAAATATTTCCATTTTCCAAAATTTGACTAATTTTCAAAATTACTGGGCAGGTTATTATACATTTTAGAAAAATTTTATTAAAAGTTTCAGATGAACAATCAAAAGCAGGCCAAAAACGTATTAAGTTGACACAATCAGATCTCTGTTTATAAAGTATATAAAGTTTTTTTCGAATCTTGTCTGTACCACCTTAAGGAGGACAGTGTAACTGGTTGAAATCACATAACCGTTCCCAAAGTAAAAAATGTATAATCTACGTCGCTTTCAGTATTTACTTGTTCTATTTAATTAATTGGACGAAACAGAAAATACTAATAAACTGAATAATTCACATATTTAGTTTGAAAGCCGCAACGCAAAATGACTAACTTGTTTTAATTCTACCCTAATTAATCTTCAGATATCATAATAACACAACGAAAAATCTCATATAGTCAGTGCATATTATACTATTTTAGATGTAGCTAGACGTAGTCCAGATGGTGATCATTGCTTTGTACATTTCTGAGAAAACAGAACCTATAGGTACTGCCGTGAAAGGGTCTATTCACGCAACACAAAGACGCCCTGTGATATCGGCGTATTAATTAGTTCCACGGTGGGTATCTACAAATAATCCTATAGAGAAAAGAAATAGATAGATAGATACGAAACTGTCCCAGCCATTATTTGCCGAAATAACGGAATCTATTTCAAATTTCTTAAGCGCATTGAATTTGCAAATAATACAACTGTCTTCCATTATTTTTATCCATCTTTTCTTTAAGTCCGTGCCTATATAATACTAATATCTAACGGAATGAGATAGGTATACAGTTCAACAGTTTATTTGGCAGTTGTCCAATTGGGAAGCTTTTAATGAATGAAATTATGCCCACATAAGACTTAGGATGGGTTTTATTTTCCATCACGAAAGGTATTTTGCAAATCATGTAAATTAAGCAGAATATTTCTTTCGTTTAATTAAACATGAATTAAAAAATAGCACCAAAAGCTTACCAGTCACCTGACTAGGTTTCTAACTAATGCAACGATATTATTAAGTAGAACAACAAGTAGAACATGAATAAGCCGCATCGATGCATGTGGCTGCAGTAAATGTAGGCAATAATTCAAACAAATTTAAGGTTTCAAGACAGCAAAGACCTAAAAGAATCAAATGTTTGTCAATTATGAGTTTGTATCAATTTTAAATCTGATGATGACGCTGTTGTCTCGCCGAAACGTTATGAAATAATATGCAAATTTTTATTTCACACCTTGACTGAAACCCAGGAAAAAAAAACAATATAATAACAATGACACGCAGTCACGAAAATAAATAAAAACAAGTGTATTCTATGAATGTCTTGCTTGCATTTGCGGAGTACTTAAATAAATCCGTGAAGGTTTATTAATGAAATTGAGACAAAATTCTCTTCTGACATTATTTCGGAACAGAGACTTATTTGCACAAAATAAAAAAATTAAATTCATTGTTGGGGGAGAAAGTGTGTTGTTTATAAATATAATAATAAAAAAATATCAAATCACTTCTGTAATCCTAGTTTGAGGACATTCTAATTTAAATATGTCTTTCAAGTGAGCCAATGAAAATAAATAATGGGTAATCAGATCAGGAGGTCGTGGAGGCCACGTCTGTCCAAATAATTTAAAAAATATTGACCAATCTACCAAGCAGGCTAATGGATGTTTCGTTATGCGAGTAAACGGAAGTTTTCCAGGTAAGTAATAAAATTTTCCTGAATATATGTAGGATGTTGATGTCATTTAAAGCGAGCTGCAAATTTTATATTTATTTATATCTAGGAATAATATAATATAGCTATTTATATCTAGGAATAAAATTGAAACATCTTCATTCAGTAAAGATGCTTGAAATTAAATAAAGCTGGAAAACCCCGAAGTCAGTATTAGTATTAGTAGAAATTTCGAATTAATGCAATTAGAAACTTTTTCGGCAATTTGTTTGTTTAACATTTATATATACCTACTTATAAAGCGCTCGAATTAGCTAGCCAAAGTTAAAGGTAAAGGTAGATCACGAAAAAGTTAATAATTGCATATTAAATTTATTTTTATCTAAACGATGCTTGATATGATAGAACCGATGCTTGATATGATAGAACCGATGCGAACGCGGTAAGCGGTTAAGTGGTTCCTACTAGCAAGACATAGATTAACAGCACCAACACATCTTTTCAAATTGCTTTAATGAGGAAAAATTTTATTTTCATAGCCGAGTCAATAAACTAAATAAGCCGTCAATTATATCAAATATAATATTTAATATTCAAAGTGAGTTACTAAAAGTACAAAAATTCTTAAAAAAATAGACAAATTTATGTGAAAAATACTTCTATTGTTTTGCGATTTGGCATTCAAACTTCTTTTGGCGCTTGGCATGGAGGTTATTAATTGTGACTATAGCAAAAATATTACCATTTGGCTATCTCCGTCCATGTCTCCCCCTGGCCTATCTTCAGCCTCCATATCTTCGGCGTAAACCGCTACCGGTTCTTTGTTTTTAATACGTATTTTGCCTGTTTGATTGCAAAACGTGTTAAGCGCGCACTCGGCAATGCACCAAAAGGTGGGATTTCCCAACGTTGGGAAAGGAATAAACCAAAGTAAGTATGTTTAAACAAACCACAGTAACGTCACAACGAATCTACCCGGTGAAAAGCACAGAACACAAACAAATTGAGGTTATAAACGAAATTGTCACTGAGTATACCTGCAGAACGTGCCAAGGCTGAGAATCGTAACTTTACACGATGAATGAGGATCTGGTGATTCGATTAGGATTCCCTCATGCTTTCCCCCCCTCCAAAAAGCGGATGGGGCCAATCGCACGGATAGGCGGAGTTACGATAAGTGGGAGGGTGGAACTTTGACTGCGCCGCACATAATTACACGTTTTTAATGCATATATTATCCAATCGTTTTTCATTGCATACAATGTCGATTAACTGAGCTGGATTTGGACTTATGTGTGAGATATTGGCATCTCTCTTCAATTTATGGACGATATTTTATGATCACAGGTCTCAGGGGCACTCTAATCATAATAAACCTCAATTTTACCAAAGCAATAATTGTTCTTTTAGTACGTCTTCTCTCATTGATTTCTTTTTGTTGGAAATTGTTTTGTATAGACGACAAGCAATACTACTGAAAATTACTAGATATACAGGGTAATCCAAAATTGGCCCATTCCTTTTAAGTGGTAAATTTATAGAATATCTATATTAAAAGTTGAAAATTGAACAAAAAAGACATTAATATCTAAACTACCAATTTTCACTTTTGTCTCTTAACCGTACCGTAATATAGATACTATTTCTTGATCCCCTGGTGAAAAATACGTACTTTCGCCACTGCACAGGGGCGGATCCAGATTTCGAGTCAGGGGGGGTCAAGTAGTAGGTACAAATTTACAGTCTTTTGTTGTCTATAAAATTAGAAAATTTATCGTTAGTCGTTATAAACTCAGCACAAGGAGGGGGGTCATGACCCCCATGACCCCCCCCCTTGAATCCGCCCTTGGGCATGCAGAGGACAAACATTGATATTAATTATTATATCTATTAGCGTTTAAAACGTTCCATTTTTCTATATATATATAAATAATCTTTATTTCCTACAGAAAAAGGCTATCTACCCAATCGGTCTTTCTGCCCTTGTTTAGTAGAAAAAGAAAATAAAAAAAATTAAAATTCTTGGCTTACAAAACAAACAGATCTTAGTCCTTAGCTCAGTTGCGTTTGTAGGTGGTAAAGTATCTGTTGGGGAACGAAAACGGGAGTGTTTTGTCGGTCTTGTGAGGCAAAGGGGATTCAGTATGGTCCAGTTGTGGGGATTGTTTGTCCATTTTGTCTGTAAGTGTATTAGTCTTTCCGAAATTTTTGTCATGTTTGTGCGTTCGTATAGTAGTTGGTTGGAAGGGTTGTGCAG